TAATTATATGAAATCTAAATATCCTATCATATAGCTTACCACATTACCAAGATACAAGCTAATCAGAAACACGATCATTTTCACGAATTTGTCATTCAAAAATTTCTTTTCTTTCCTCCGAAGTTTCACTTAACTGAGACACAGAATTCAGAAATGGACATCATTATACTGATTACTTGTCCAGTAATAATATCGTATATCAATTCATACCATCAAATTACGATTCTTACGAACGTAAATATATTCTGCGGCAATGTTAAAAGACATGAAGACAAACGATGTATGTACATTAATTTGTAGAGAATCAACACGAGCCAAACAACGGTTACTGAAACAAAACAACAAAGCGTTTTTTATTCTCTTCAATCACGCGAATCTCGGACAACCACAAGAACCTTCCAAGGAGGGAAGCAGCCATTAGGACATCAAACAAAGTATTGGGGTTTGATATAAAAAAGTGACATCGATTGGTAACAGGAGACGATAACGGATTACAACAGTCCACTTGTGTTTAGATATTCCATATAAGATTTACGAAATTGCCAATGACTTTTTTCTTTTGACCGCGCCAGAAGCTCCGTGAAAAGAAAAATGCTTAAGACTTGTTTCATCAATTTCATTTGAATGTAAATTACGGTAAGATCCTCTATATAAAAACAATATTCTTCTGTAGCCAAGTATATATGTCAGATCTGTAGCCAGGTTTATATGTCAGATCTGTAGCCAGGTTTATATGTCAGATCTGTAGCCAGATTTATATGTCAGATCTGTAGCCAAGTATATATGTCAGATCTGTAGCCAGGTTTATATGTCAGATCTGTAGCCAGGTTTATATGTCAGATCTGTAGCCAGGTTTATATGTCAGATCTGTAGCCAGGTTTATATGTCAGATCTGTAGCCAGGTTTATATGTCAGATCTGTAGCCAGGTTTATATGTCAGATCTGTAGCCAGGTTTATATGTCAGATCTGTAGCCAGGTTTATATGTCAGATCTGTAGCCAGGTTTATATGTCAGATCTGTAGCCAGGTTTATATGTCAGATCTGTAGCCAGGTTTATATGTCAGATCTGTAGCCAGGTTTATATGTCAGATCTGTAGCCAGATTTATATGTCAGATCTGTAGCCAGGTTTATATGTCAGATCTGTAGCCAGATTTATATGTCAGATCTGTAGCCAGGTTTATATGTCAGATCTGTAGCCAGATTTATATGTCAGATCTGTAGCCAGGTTTATATGTCAGATCTGTAGCCAGATTTATATGTCAGATCTGTAGCCAGGTTTATATGTCAGATCTGTAGCCAGATTTATATGTCAGATCTGTAGCCAGGTTTATATGTCAGATCTGTAGCCAGGTTTATATGTCAGATCTGTAGCCAGGTTTATATGTCAGATCTGTAGCCAAGTATATATGTCAGATCTCTATATATAAATAATATAGATCTGTAGCCAAGTATATATATATGAGATCTTCTATATATAAACGATATAGATCTGTAGCCAGGTATATATATATATTAGATCTTCTATATATAAACAATATAGGTCTGTAGCCAGGTATATATATATATATTAGATCTTCTATATATAAACGATATAGATCTGTAGCCAGGTATATATATATATTAGATCTTCTATATATAAACAATATAGGTCTGTAGCCAGGTATATATATATTAGATCTTCTATATATAAACAATATAGGTCTGTAGCCAGGTATATATATATGAGATCTTCTATATATAAACAATATAGGTCTGTAGCCAGGTATATATATTAGATCTTCTATATATAAACAATATAGATCTGTAGCCTGGTATATATATATATATGAGATCTTCTATATATAAACAATATAGGTCTGTAGCCAGGTATATATATTAGATCTTCTATATATAAACGATATAGGGCTGTAGCCAGGTATATATATATATATTAGATCTTCTATATATAAACAATATAGGTCTGTAGCCAGGTATATATGTCAGATCTCTATATATAAACAATATAGGTCTGTAGCCAGGTATATATATATATTAGATATTCTATATATAAACAACATAGATCTGTAGCCAGGTATATATATATATTAGATATTCTATATATAAACAATATAGGTCTGTAGCCAGGTATATATATATATTAGATATTCTATATATAAACAATATAGGTCTGTAGCCAGGTATATATATATATTAGATATTCTATATATAAACAATATAGATCTGTAGCCAGGTATATATATATATTAGATATTCTATATATAAACAATATAGGTCTGTAGCCAGGTATATATATATTAGATCTTCTATATATAAACAATATAGATCTGTAGCCAGGTATATATATATATATGTCAGATCTCTATATATACACAATATAGATCTGTAGCCAGGTATATATGTCAGATCTCTCTATATAAATTAAATAGATCTATGGCCAGGTGTAGATATTAGATCTGTAGCTAGACATATAAATTAGAGCTTCCCTTTATAAATAATTTACATATGTAGCCAGGTGTATATGTTATCATCTAGAAAAAAATGTAATGCTTATGTGAATAAATAGGCGCGGAAACAACAATGTATTAAAGTGATAATAGGGGGTCTGACTGGAATGTCTTTTTCTTACAGATAGTCATAGTATACTGGTTATCGCCTACGCTAAATCGATAGTATATCCTCCAGATATTAGATTAACCTTCACACCTGCTCTATTGCTTTACATTGGAGGATCAAACACAACGATGACGTAGATGTATAAGCTTTCAGTCTAAATTGAGTATAAAATTCATTATGTCCTGTCTACAACGATTTCATTTTAATGTTTTTGTATCAAAAGTTACATTCTTTATGAAAATGAATCAAAATGCGGTTTAGGAATTCTTTAATGCCTTCAACAGTATATCATATGTCAGTAATGTAACTTAACATATCTTTATCTACTTGTATGTTTTTTTTTACAGAAATCAATGTCAGCCTTACTCTTACTAAAAATAAAACATAATGTTTCCTGAATAAACGTTCCCGATTATTAATGTCATAGAAATGAGAGGCTGGCGGCAGTATGATCTTATAAAACAGCTTGATGGTTAGTTATAAACATCTGTTTGATGGTTATATAAACAACACAGGTCGGTGATGTTATAAACATCTGTTTGATGGTTATATAAACAACACAGGTCGGTGATGTTATAAACATCTGTTTGATGGTTATATAAACAACACAGGTCGGTGATGTTATAAACATCAGTTTGGTGGTTATATAAACAACACAGGTCGGTGATGTTATAAACATCAGTTTGCTGGTTATATAAATAACACAGGTCGGTGATGTTATAAACATGAGTTTGGTGGTTATATAAAAAAAAACACAGGTCGGTGATGTTATAAACATCAGTTTGGTGGTTATATAAACACAACAGGTCGGTGATGTTATAAACATGAGTTTGGTGGTTATATAAAAAACAGAGGTCGGTGATGTTATAAACATCAGTTTGGAGGTTATATAAAAAACACAGGTCGGTGATGTTATAAACATCTGTTTGGAAGTTATATAAAAAAACACAGGTCGAATATGCTGTAAACATCAGTAGTTGTGGTTTTATACACGGTGTTTGGTGAATTTGAAAACATCACTCTGGTGTTTTAATTAACACCGTAAGTTGGCGATGCTATCAAATATATGCACTCTACAAGTTAATGTGTACCCGGGGATTAAATTCACCACATGTGATTCGATTATTCTGTAGATCTGGGAAGGCCATCCCTCTTTTCTGTCTTACGTTGTGTGAAAGCTTTGTACAAATAAAAAACGTTCGATGTCCTCAAGTTTATATCTTGTAATCAACGAACTATTTGCTTTCGCTGATAAAATAGATGTATCAAGTATACAACACCCGATCGATCGACATTTTAATTCATTTAAAGTCAAACACAACTATAGAAAAAACATCTCTTAAAATAAACGTTTACTTTTTTTTCAAAACGTGTAAGAACTATAAAACTCGGTTTACAAATGTCAAATATGATTTGAATTAAACTAACAGCACATAACTATATCAGCGAATTTTTTGTCGAAGGAATTTGTCAGTGGTTTTTTTTTTATAAAACTTTCTTATTGCCACTCGACTTAATTAATGCTAGAAAAAATTAACATTTTCGTCTTGCATGGTTTTAGTATACGTGTTCTTAAACCCGACATGCCGTAAACTTCACATAGTAGATCACGTGACAGTACTTGGAATGTTTAATAAAGCTAAATGAAAATACACACCAACTTCCGATCATTGAGAATGCATTGATTCGTATGTAACTAACATCTATTTCAGGCAATTCTTTACGTGTCAGAAAGGGAATTAATATTTCATTATGCTAATATAATTTGGATAACATACTGATAAAAAGTCAGAATAAGATATATCTTTTACATGAAACGGTAACATTTAAACCTATCCTTTACTTTTTATATGTTTGTCGTTATAGTTATTCCAACGTACACTCCGAAGTTTGCGACCTCTGTCGTGACTTATGTTTAATTCCCCACAGTGGCGACTTCTATCTGACTCACGTTTAAATTCCCCACTGTGGAAAACTGTCGTGACTGGGAATCGACGGTGTCGTGCATATTATGTACAACAGGGTCTTTTCGTTTTAGCAAATCATCAAGTGGTTTCTGGTGCGACAATTCCTTTGTTTACAAAGCACATTTTATTGACAAACGCTAAGTAGGATGAGTAAATATATCATTGTTTGAGAACAACGAGGTTTTCTATGTAGAGTGACTGGTATTTATTGGTCCTTGTCGCACCTGTTTAGCACTATCAAATAGTGAGAAAGTCAATTGAATACTACAGAGAAACCATGAGCTGTTTAACAGTATGACATTGTTATCAGCCGGTGAATCAATGGGTCAATACAGTAAACAGAACTGACAGTCGTGATCAATCAACGGACCCTCATCAGGAGTAGAATCTATTCAATTAAAACCACAAAGAAATACAATGTGAATTGACAATAATTTTAATACATTTTATGTATGATTTTAATACAGTGTTTAGTCTCCAGCATTCCACCGTGAATGCAGAGAATTCTTTCTATTCTCTCTGAGCGTTTTTCCCGACTGACGTTATACGTCATGTTTGTAATGATAAATAACTTCAATGACACATTAATCTTAAATACTGAAGTTGAGCACTATTGTTGGTTAAAATTCACGACTGAGCCTTTTCACCTGCCCTGAGATATAACAGTCAATAAAGGGGATATTATATATAGTTTCTCGAATAGAACTACAACAACAAAAAGTCATAGATTTCTAAATATCATTAAGATTGTAAACTTACAGTAATACACGATTTTGTATAGATATAAATTGTCTATATTGCCAGCACTAGCACAATATCACAATGTAAGCGATTTGTTGGATTAGATAGCTCAGTGTCCACTAGGGCACAGCGGCAGCCCCTAATCGCTGTCCATACAAAGAGTAGGGGGAGAGGTAGGGACCGAGTCCTGGATGATGTTGAGCACTACTGAGCCCCGCTGGGGGATTTATCATGGATTTGTAAGGGTGGTAGCGACTTGACCCCATAAGACCTGACAGTGGACTAAGACTTGTAGGGTAGCTCCTCCGGAGGGAATTGGGACTAACAGACCCAGGTGTGGGTAAATGTCCATGGAGACTTGGGAGGCCAGCGGCAGCAGCAGCAGCCAATCCGTATCTGTCATAGCTGGCCGCTAAAGAAAGTGGGTCTGACGCTGTTGTATGTGTCCTCAAATGTTGTAAAAGTTCCTCTGATGTAGCAAATCGTTTACCACAATGTTCATTCCCGGCCGATACCCAATTACATGCAAAGGGGAATGCCGACTGGGTATGCCCGCTCAGCGCACTAGGGTGATATAATGGAGAAGATAAATGTAATGAACTGGATGGAACAGATGTTAACAGCCCTGATGCTGAAAGCGATTGCAAATGTGAGAATGAAGAACCATTAAGTCCCAAGCTCAAATTCTGTAGAGATTTTTCATGCGCACACTGAGCACAACCAACTGCCGTACATGTGGATGATAAATGTGCATTCTGTTCAGTCAATTGGCAATGGGTACAGTAGGGATCGCGACAAACGGGAACGAGGGTAGTGGCTCCAGAGGGTGTTCTCACACGGGCGTACGTCACGTACGGGGAGAAGGAAGATCCCATACCGGCTTTCAGAGCCGATGATTGAGCGGCCAGGGCAGATGATTGTGCTGCTAGTGCAGCTGCAGCAGCGGAAGAGGAACCAAAAGCACCATGTGCTGGTAAAGGTAAAGGAAATCCGGCGAAGTGTGCGGCAGCTGCGTCTGGCGAAAGTCCGTGGCCAGCATGGGTGTAGTGGGGGAAGGAACTAGAAATTGATGAATACGCACTGTAAGGTGACTGAGACGTAGAGGACACGGACTTTGCTATATCTCCAATTGAACTACTGTCCCGAGTAAACTTGTGGGGTGACCTAGGAGATGATCCCGGTCTTTTGCTCCTGTCATCGTCCTTGTCTGCCATGTTGCGATGTGACCCAGAACTGTGTGAGCTGATCGATCGAGGTGGTCCAGAGGTCAAGTCCGCCTGAGGAGAAGATGTTTTCTCTTTTGAGGGACGAGGGGAAGATTTTGATGGTGATGGAGATGGAGTTTTCTGGTCTTCACTAGAGCGTGACACGGGTACAAGGGGAGGTATATCCTTATTTTGAATGGTCCTAAAGCCGGGTTTACTACTAGATGAACTGGAGTCCTTCTCTTTTGACTCACGTTTGTTTCCATCATTACTAGATTTCTCTGGATTTTTCTCGCCCTCCTTTTTATCTAGCGGCGGTATTAGGGACTTTGACGTGGTGTCCTTTCCAATACTGCTACATGTTTGAGCCAGTAATGCCAGTGGACTCTTCTTGGCATCAAGCTGTCAAAAAATAAATCACCATTATAAATTTCATTTAAAAATCATAGTCAAGTCAAGTAAAGAAAAGATCAGTAATATTGAGGTAAAATAATATATTTTTATTTTTCCCCATCGAATAAAATATTATAGAATGGTATTGAGCAGTTAATCAATAAAAACAAAATTCAACAAAAATAAGATAAAGATGTATATTCCCTTTCAATGAAAAAAACACTATTTTTTAAGGAAGATATTGGAGGCGCAGGAGACCGAGAATATTATACTAAAGGTATTTTTTGTCGAAGGGGAATGAAATATCCATCATTAGAATTTTGTTATGAGTCTATTCAGGTATCCCACTATTATATGAAATATCCGTCGAGTGTATTCGTGACATAAACAACAATAAATGACCGAGATATTGCTGGTTTATATTTATTTCCCTGTTTAAAAGATGGCGTGAACAAAGAACCAAGCTTCGTTATATTTCCTGTTTTGATGTTAAGAAAGAGGTAATTTAAGAAAACATTTTTACAACATGTGACTTAATTTTAATTTAACACCCTACACTTCTTATTTGACTTTTGATCAATCATCTCAAAATGAGTGGTTCATTTTGACGCCTACACGACGTCAGTATATATATAATATACATCAGGAGTGAGGGTGTGTTCGTATGAAACCTCGTGGGAACGCGAGGTAGATGATGATTGATGACGGGTCAGTCTACAGTGGTAGTTGTGTAAAAGGGGCGGCTTGCCTATAGAAGTTTACACGATGTAGCCACTTGTTTTATGTATCAATAGATGAACGCAGTCTGTAGACGGTAAACAACAAAGAACAACACCTCGCCCAAAATTAATAGGTATTGTATCATTGTATTTTCTTTAATTAATGTATTGTCTTCGCTCTAAAATGCGGATAAATTAACTTACATTCTAGTTATGTCTAATATTTATGGTTTCGCACCCTATACCGATTATTTATTACATGTTTGCGTGTTTTTTGGCATTACAAACCATCACTTAGTTAAAGAATTGTCGAAACGTTGGGTAATAGTAGAATATACAATATTAAACGTAAGTTGGATTTCAATAAAATTCGTTAAAGCACTTACCGTGGTAGGAAGGGGTTGAAGATAATCCGGGTTAATATACTGAGACGATGAAGATGACGTTAACATTTTATCGATGTTGTAACACACAAAGAATCCAAACGTGTGAAAAATATAAAATCCCAAGTAACACAGGACAAGCTTCACAAAAGCACCATCATTAAATTACGAAGTGTTATAAAGCCGCCAAGACTCTTGTAAACAGAAGGATTCTATGTCCGGACACCAGAAATACCAGACTAGTGACTGGTATGTTGGTTTCCTTGTGTTGCTATCCCTGTTTACAGCGCGGCTGTCAGTCAAACAACTGAAAGTCGACAGCGAACGTCACCCCGTTAGTAAACTGAAACATACAAGCTCATACCGCCCATCAAGCCAGATCTCAAGTGATATTCTCAACACTTGCGGCTGACTCACGAGATAAAAGGTTTACACCGCCTTCAGGCAGTTTAATATATCACAGGATCCACTCAAGTATTCATAGCTTGTGGGCTTTCCAAACTGTCAGTTTGCATCAAGATCAAGTATGATAAATGTTCTAATCGGACCAATCAGTGGCTAGATAACATAACGCTGTCGGTTGAATACAAAATGGGTAATATGGGTTGTAATCAATCATGTTAATGGTCAAATTGTCAATCAAATTTCCATTTCTAGGCTCATGTACTTTGTACAAATTAAATAAGCAAATTGCAGATGAAAGAAACGTCGAAGGGAAGAGATAATGGCAGACGATTTAACATGACCGCCGCCATCAATAACGAAATAGCGTCTGTCACTACTCTGCTGAAGCGCTAGTTCTAAATGTGATGAATGAATTTCAATTATGACCTAATGGGGATAGGAAAACAATTTTATATGAATTGGTGTAAATCTGCAATTCTAATCATACTGTATAGAACACCACAACAACACCATTGGCTGCATAATCAGCCGCATACGGGATGTATCAACAGAGAACGTGTCCAGTCATAGTCTAGGTGGCCAGCTGGGTCCCTGTATTAATGTAATCAGTCGGGACATTATATGTAATATGTTGTGTGATAATCCACGCGTATCACCAATATATATATACAAATTATCAATGTACATTGATAATGAGTTCACTAATAATCGATATGCAGTAACGATATCAACTCGTATAGCAGATGTAGACACAAATCACTGTTGTATACATGTATGTACATATGAAATATACTCCAAAATACTCGATATAATTCTAATATGCAGAAAATTTATCTGCGGTACTGAAGAAATCATACATACGTTATTCATGTATATATTAACACACACAAATATTCATATATATGTGTAGACATAATCGAAAAATAATGCAAATGTGATCGATAGCTGATGCTAATATTTCAATACATATTCATCAACTAATATAAATAGATAAATAAATAATAACACAACATCTCAATATAAGATTTATTGTTTTGACTTTATGTGATATATCAGCCCTGACGATAATTCTATTTGTAAATAAACAGCTTCATCTCGAGTATAACATGATATGTAAGGGTAATATTAAGGTTGCTCTACTTTTTATTACACGAGAGATGTTATGTTTAATGTTTTTTTTATTTGTGAAAGCTGAACCCCTTTGATGTTTTATAAATAATACAACATATCAATACAACATGACTTTTAAAACAGGCTTTCAAATGTGTTTTGATATGCTTGATGTAGGACCAGCTGGGGTGATACACCAAATGTCACACCGCGGTAATGGAGACTTATTATCTTCTGTACAGCAGCACAAACGCACTTATGAAACGCACAATTAACAGCAGGTTAGAAACGACATTTTGTCCATGCCGTTTCCGCTATCGGCCAATGATCAATCACCAGATGATATGAAATATATCTAAATTACGTCATAAATACCAGCTTCTGTGGCGGTAATCAAGTCTGTGGATAATGTTGTTGTTCACGTGTCCGTAGAGGCCTCTAATAAGCTTATAAGACAGACGTAAATAATGCTTCATCACTGTGATAAATATAGTCTCATCACTTTGATAAATACAGCCTCATCCTTGTGATAAATACTGCCACATCACTGAGATAAATACTGCCTCATCCTTGTGATAAATACTGCCTCATCACTGAGATAAATACTGTTTCATCCCTGAGATAAATACTGTTTCATCACTGAGATAAATACAGTCTCATCCTTGTGATAAATACAGTCTCATCCTTGTGATAAATACTGCCTCATCCTTGTGATAAATATTCTCATCCCTTTGATAAATATAGTCTCATCACTTTGATAAATACAGCCTCATCCTTGTGATAAATACTGCCCTCATTACCGAGATAAATACTGTCTCATCCTTGTGATAAATACTGTCTCATCACTGTGATAAATACTGTCTCATCACTGTGATAAATACTGTCTCATCACTATGATAAATTATGTCTCATCCCTGTGATAAATTCTGCCGCATCACTGAGATAAATACTGCCTCATCATTGTGATAAATACTGCCCCATCATTGTGATAAAGTCTGCCTTATCACTTTGATAAATACTGCCTCATCACTTTGATAAATACTGCCTCATCACTGAGATAAATACTGCCTCATCACTATGATAAATACTGTTTCATCACTGAGATAAATACAGTCTCATCACGGTGACAAATACTGCCCTCATTACCGAGATAAATTCTGCCTCATCCCAGTGATAAATACTGTCTCATCACTGTGATAAATACTGTCTCATCACTGTGATAAATACTGTCTCATCACTGTGATAAATACTGTCTCATCACTGTGATAAATACTGTCTCATCACTGAGATAAATAGTACACTACCCAGGACATCAATTTGATAAACTACTTGATTTAAAAACAATATCCATATATCTGTTCTGGTTTTCTCAGTTTTTGTGATCAGGATTCTATAAGTGAAGAAAACCTTTTTATTTTTACTTATGATTAGCCTATGTTGTCTATACACACCATCAGTGAAAAGTTCTGTATAGAGGCATCACGTGGGGATGAGTGCCCGTTTAGGTGTAAAGATATTTGTTAATACCTCACTCTTACGATGTATAATACATCCAAGGTGTTCTAAAATCTCATCTTGTCAAGTCTGTATAGGAAACGTTTAAAAAAGAGATTTTACTACACTTTTATCGACATTGATTGAAAGATGAGATTTCAGTTTTATACAGTGAACGGCATAATAATGAGAAGAGTGATGTTGTGAGGTGACACGAGTGACGTGTAAAGAAAAGCTAGGTTACACCATTGTACCGTATATAATGATTAAATTCATGTCAGGTGTCAGATCGATAATACTCCCTAAACACTACACCTGTCGTATAGAACTCTGCAACAGACCAACAGTGCTAGACCTTTAATAGTCAAGCTCACATTCAATATGAAAGGCAGTCATCAAAGTAGCAGTGTATGCCCCAAATAAAGGTGGAGATACTACTCCATGAACCTGACATGCTATATTGAGGTAAAATATTATAACACCGTGGAGTTTGGACGGAGTTTTCAAGGGCAGATAGACGGGAAACATGTAGTTTGACATTTCTGACACGTGATTGGGTGTAGACGATAGTCCAGACACGTAGTTGGAGGGTAGATGATAATTCAGATACATGACTGGAGGGAAGATGATAGTCCAGACACGTGACTGAAGGGTAAATGATAGTCCAGACACGTGACTGGAGGGTAGATGATAGTCTAGAGTGTTTGGAAAAGACGATAGTCCATGCACGTGACTGGAGGGTAGACGATAGTTCAGATACATGACTGGAGGGAAGATGATAGTCCAGACACGTGACTGAAGGGTAAATGATAGTCCAGACACGTGACTGGAGGGTAGATGATAGTCCAGACACTTAATTGAAGGGTAGACGATAGTCCAGACACGTGACTGGAGGGAAGATGATAGTCCAGACACGTGACTAGAAGGTAAATGATAGTCCAGACACGTGACTGGAGGGTAGATGATAGTCCAGACACGTGACTAGAAGGTAGATGATAGTCCGTCCAGACACGTGACAAGAAGGTAGATGATAGTCCAGACACGTGACTGGAGGGTAGATGATAGTCCAGACACTTAATTGAAGGGTAGACGATAGTCCGTCCAGACACGTGACAAGAAGGTAGATGATAGTCCAGACACTTAATTGAAGGGTAGACGATAGTCCAGACACGTGACTGGAGGGAAGATGATAGTCCAGACACGTGACTAGAAGGTAAATGATAGTCCAGACACGTGACTGGAGGGTAGATGATAGTCCAGACACGTGACTAGAAGGTAAATGATAGTCCAGACACGTGACTGGAGGGTAGATGATAGTCCAGACACGTGACTAGAAGGTAGATGATAGTCCAGACACGTGACTAGAAGGTAAATGATAGTCCAGACACGTGACTAGAAGGTAGATGATAGTCCAGACACATGACTGGAGGGAAGATGATAGTCCAGACACGTGACTGGAGGGTGAATGATAGTCCAGACGCGTGACTGGAGGGTAGATGATAGTCCAGACACTTAATTGAAGGGTAGACGATAGTCCAGACACGTGACTGGAGGGTAGATGATAGTCCAGACACGTGACTAGAAGGTAGACGATAGTCCAGACACGTGACTGGAGGGAAGACGATAGTCCAGAGTTTTGGAGGGAAGAAACATGACTGGAGGTTAGACAAAAGATCAAATACGTTGTTGAAGGATAGTTCAGACACGTTGTTTCGGGGCGGACGACAGTTCAGATACGCCATTTTAGAGTTGATAATTTATACACGTTGTATGAGTGTAAAGGATATTTCAACCATGAATATAGGGAAGAAGACTCCTCAGACGCACTGTAGGTAAATGCTAGGCCAAATAAGGATTCGTGCAAACAGACATGATTTATATTCCCATTGAGTCCAGTAACAGTTCTCAGAGTGTCTAAATTAAACAAAATATCTTACACCATTGAGTTAGGTAACAGGTCTCAGAGTGTCTAAACTAAGAAAATATCTTACACCATTGAGTCCGGTAACAGTTCTCAGAGTGTCTAAACAAAGAAAAATATCTTACACCATTGAGTCCGGTAACAGTTCTCAGAGAGTGTCTAAATCAAGCAAAATATCTAATACAAACGTCTTCCTGTTTAGGGTGACATATGATGCCTTGAGGCTAAAGTCACGTCATGTAAACATATGTCTGAGTGTGTATTGGTGCGTCTAGGTACGAGTCAACTAGGGTTAGAAATAAGTATATTCTGGCGGCTGTAAATATCGCAGTTTTTGTAGGCGTTC